ATATATATATGTCCCTACTATTGTCCGAAAAACTTTTTGGTACAAAACTCTAAATATCATATTGAACCATGTTAATATCTCGACTTTGAAATAAGTTTTTTTGTTTATTTTTTTAAGTAATACGTCATAACGTTTTGAAATTTTAACTATAGATTCGTTAAGTCTTTTTTGACATGTTTTTCAACCTAAGTACAATAGGTCAGCTTTCAAAAAGACTCTCGATGAATATAGTGTATACTTGAAGATTCGCAATGTGTTTGGTTAGTATTTGTGTTTTACGGTGTCAGCATGTCAGCATTTTCTACAACTACTTTCAGTATGTATACTATTCTGCGTGTAAAGGTCAATTAAAATTTTCACATGTTATGTTTCCCGACTTCAAAATTCTTGTTTAACCAAATGAGTACAATATTTTTATTACTTAAGAAACTGTTACATACGATATCATACAGCTATGCGTGCGTGCGCTTTTGCTAACTTGGGCCCGAAAGGTAGGGGAATAGAGAGGAGAAGTGATAGGAAAAGGAGAGCGAAGGGCCAGAGTAAAGGGGGATCAGCTAGAGACGCGAGAGCCAAAGGATCAAGTCCGCGAAACGAGCATACACGCGCAACTTCCCTTGAATATAAGGAATTATAATAAAGTATAAGTTAACCACAAGTCGGCCTATTATTTATTCCCGCACCGTAAACCCCACGTAACAGATGGTGTTAGAAGTGGGATACAGACAAAATTTTTTACAGTCTGTCGTATGCGCAAAAATCACTTAGTCTCGCGAAACAAAAAATTTGAAAATTACTTGTTTTCGATTAATCAACGTAATAAAATAAAGAAAAGAAGAAGAATATATAGCTCATCGTACAGTGGAAACAAAGTGTCAAAAGTGCCGGACGCCAAATTCGATGGCGCAACCGTCACAATAAAAACAATCTGGAGGAAGCGTAAAAAAAAAGGGAGAAATAATCGAAAAATTTTTCAACACTGCTACCAGACTAGTACAGCGATAGGAGAAGAAACTGCATATCAAGCCAGCGGAACAATATATCAAAATACTAGAACAACTACCAGTTTCTACAGCCAGGAAAATACGAACAAAAAGAGAACATGGTGCGCCGAGCCCAGACGGCAGCCCCAGACGGGATACGGGGTACATAACTCAAAAGTAGAAGACAACGGGGAAAAGCGAAGGCAGATCAAAATACAGAAGGATCAAAGGCCAACTCATGGGGATACACAGGATCATCATTACACTGACCAACGTGACAGGAATCTGGTAAGTGAAATTTCACTGTTCTTATATACCATACAAATAACTCTCGAAGGAAAACGCATTCGAAGAAAAATTTTTTACATCGATATCCTCACTAAATCATAAATCTAAGGACCTTGGTTGTAACACATAATTGCATGTATAAGCATATACCCGATATACAGGCGACAAGCACTGGATACAAAATTTTCTAAATTAATCTAAATCTATCGGGCTAACACAAAATACACAAAAACGACAGGTGCCTTAGGATGAAACTAAAGAAAAATATATGTATATGAGGCATTTCACGTCAACTGTCCTAGTGCGATCCGCAAGCACCAAAACATGTACTTTTCAACTCACGATTGTGGTATTATAAATAACAGAGAAAAAATAATGGAAACATAGGATCGACGTGTTTTTTCCTCAGTTTTTCGGTGATGCAATCGGTCTTTTGAAAAAATGACGATTTAACCTAGAAAAACACAAATGTGTTATATCTCAAAAACGGCATTTTTAATATTTTTTTAACCATCGCCAATCCAAAGGGCAGGATTTTTTATGTCAGTATGGTGATTTCCAGAGAGTACTTTTTTCATTTTAGCGAGATATTGAATGACAAAGTTGGGCGCAACGACACAGTGGCAGCTGCTGCTCGACTCGCGCGATGGTATGCTATATGTATTTATCACCAAGCGAACATGGTGAGGTTGCGCTGTTTTGATTCAACTTTTAATACACAGCAAAATAAATAATTAAATAAATAATTATGACTATGTGTAACAGAAGCCCGTAGTCAGTAGAAAAAATTTTTTTAAGCTGCTTTTTAATATGTAATTTAATATTTCAATCTAAAACATCTCACGCAACTAACAATCTCATTATTGTTTAAATATTTAATAACTGGTTATAAAGTTGAAATAATAGTTTGAAAACTGTTTAGATATCTGTTGACGAAGATTCTCTGCAGAAAATATCTAATGTGCTGTTTATGGGACCACAATAGTAGTTTGAAAATCCATAAAATAATTATTTTAACTGCAAAAAAAATAAAATTGATGTAACAACCAAAAAAAGTTCTAGAGGATTCAAAAACAATTTTTTTGTGCCCAAAATGTCTAATTTAAAGATTTCTCACATTTTTCAACATAGCGCGGCACTGGTAAAGATCTAAGAAATACAAAAAAATGTATTTTTTCCACTCCAGAAGATGGTACAATGATGTTGAGCGTTCCAAAAACGAAGCATGCTCAAAATTGCGTTTTAAAGTCAAAATAATTTGTTTGAAGGTTATGATGACCTTGCATGATACTTAAAAAAAATTTTACGTAAGAGTAATAATATTCTCTATAATCTTCGATTTTTTTCATTTTTTTTTCTAATTATTAAATGCCGGGATAAAAAATAAACGCAAACAACAAGATTTCTTGGGTCCCAAAGATCTAAAAATTTTTTTAGGACCTTAGACTATTTTTTTGATTTTTTTATGCCTAATTGAACCTCTTATCAAGATTGAAAAAAAAAATTGAGGGCATTAAACCCTTATTAACCGAGAATACCCTTTCTATATGATTATCTGCTATGATCATTAGCTTTTCCACTATT